GTCATCAATGTTGTGAGGAATCATATCATTGCATCTCGTCTCATTATCACCTGATCGCTATACTTTTGCCGCAGTGTGTTAACACTTGCCATGTGTACACTCCCAGCCTGCCTGGCACTGACTGTTCTCTGAGTTACTGCAGTACAGACATATGGACCATGGGCATCTGACGAGAAGCATACATGTCTGTCTTGTCATGTACTTGTATGTGTCCTGTCTATCCTGAAATGGATGTTCCTTACTTGTCCCTCAAAATTTATGTTATTGTTATGATTCACTTAATATAAATTTATGTTGCTATGAATAAAAACTAGATTTAGTTAATTTTGAGTCCTACCTGTGGTTGCTTTGGCAGGGCCAGACCAAATGATTTCTTGAGCCTTATACAGCCCACAGGCCAGACATTCCCCATCCCCAGTGTAAATGTACCACAGCTTTTTTATCCACTCATCTACTGGTGGGCACTTGGGCTGTTTTCAGATCTTAGCTGTTGTAAATAATGCTGCCATGAACATAGGGGTACATATATTCCTTTTTTTCTCCCAATTTAAAAAAATTTTACTTTATTCTTGAGAGTATTACAGATGTCCCTCATTTTCTCCCCATTGCCCACCTCCACCCATTTCCTGCCCCACCCCAGGCCTTCACCACACTATTGTCTGTGTCCATGGGTTATACATATAAGCGTAAGTTCTTCAGTTAATTTCTGCCCACCCCTTTCTCCCACCCTCTCCACTGAGATCCATCAGTCTGAGACATGTTTCCATGTCTCTGGACCTATTTTGTTTATTAGTTTATTTTGTTCATTAGATTTCACATATAAGTGAGTCCATGTGATACTTGTCTTTCTCTGACTGGCTTATTTTGCTTAGCATAGTACTCTCCATGTTCCTCCATGCTGTCCAAAGGGTAAGAGATTCTTCTTTTTTTTTTATCCTTACCTGAGGACATTCTTGCATACATCTTCAGATAGAACGAGAGAAAGAGGGAGAAAGAGAGAGAGCGAAACACCAATGCGAGAGACACACATTGACTGGTTGCCACCCACATGACCCCAACCAGAGCTGGGGACAAACCACAACCAAGGTATGTGCCCCTGGCGGGAACTGAACTCTCTGGTCCACAGGCCGACGCTCTAACCGCTGAGCCAAACCAGCTAGGGCAAGAGATTCTTCTTTTTCACAGATTCGTAGTATTCCACTGTGTAAAAGTACCACAGCTTTTTTATCCCATCATCTACTGATGGGCACTTGGGCTGTTTTCCAGATCTTAGGTATTGTAATAGTGCTGCTATAAACATAGGTGTGCATATATTCATTTGAATTAGTGTTTTGGGATTCTTAGGTTATATTTCTAGAAGTAGGATTGATGAGTCAAATGAAAGTTCAATTTTTTATTTGTTGAGGAAACTCCATGCTGTTTTCCATAGTGGCAGCACCACTCTGCATTTCCACCAGGAATGTACTAGGGTTCCTTTTTCTCCACATCCTCGCCAGCACTTTTTGTTGATTTATTAATGGTAGCCAATCTGGCAGGTGTGACATGATACTTCATTGTTATTTTAATTTACATCTCTCTGATGATTAATGACTTTGAACACTTTTTCATTTGTCCTCTTTGGTGAAGTGTATATTCAGGTCCTTTGCCTATTTTTTAATTGGATTGTTTGTCTTTCTTTTATTGAGTTATATAACTTCTTTATATATTGTGGAAAGTAATCCCTTATCCAATGTATCATCAGCAATATGTTCTCCCATACTGTGGGTTCTCTTTTTGAGGACTTTTTTTTTTTTTTTTTTTGCTGTACAGAAGGTTTTAAATTTGATGTATGTAGTCCCATTCATTTATTTTTCCCTTTGTTTCTCTTGCCCTAGGAAATGTGCCTGTGAAAATTCTGCTATGTGAGATGTCTGAGATATTGCTACCTTTGTTTTCTTTCATGATTTTTATGGTTTCATGATATAAAATTAAGTCTTTTATGCATCTTGAGTTTATTCTTGTGTGTTGTGTAAGTTGGTGGTGTAGTTTCATTTTTTTTGCTCATACCTGACCAATTTTTCCTATACCATTTATTTTTTCTTTTAATATTTATTTATTTATTGATTTATCCTACCCTGAGGATGTTTTTTCATTGATTTTTAGATAGAGTGGAAGGGAGAGAGAGAGAGAGATCAATGCGAGGGAGACACATTGATTGGTTGCCTCCCACCCAACCCTGACTGGGGCTGGGGATCAAACCTGCAAACCCATGTATGTGCCCTTGACCAGAATCAAACCCATGATCCTTTGGTCTGTAGGCTTATGCTCCAACTGCTGAGCCAAACTGGCCAGGTCCCATTGTCTTTATTCCATTGTATGCTCTTGCCACCTTTGTCAAATATTAACTGAGTGTAATAGCTTGGGTTAATTTCTGGGGTCTCTCTTTTTGTCTTATATGTCTGTTCTTGTGCCAGTACTAAGATTTTTAAAAATTAAAATATCTTTGTAATATAATTTGATATTCAGTTTGTGATTCCCTCCTACTTTGTTCTCCTTTCTCAAGATTGTTGTGGCTATTTGGGGTTGTTTTGGGTTCCATATACATTTTTGGATTATTTGTTCTAGATCTGTGAAGTATGCCAGTGGTATTTTAATAGGGATTGCATTGAATCTATAGATTTCTTTGAGTAGTCTGGACATTGTGATTATATTAATTATTCCAATCTATAAACATGGAATATTCCCCACTTGTTTGCATCTTCCCCTGTTTCTTTCTTTTTTTTAATTTTTTTATCCTCACCTGAGGACATTTTCCCATTTTTATTCAGATAGAGTGGGAAGGAGAGAGAGAGAGAGAGAGAGAGAGAGAGAGAGAGACATCGACGTGAAAGGGACACATCAAGTGGCTGCTACCCACACGACCCAACCAGGGCTGGGGACAAACTACAACCGAGGTACATGTGCTTAGCGGAAACCGAACCCGGATCTCTCTGGCAGGCCGATGTTCTAACCACTGAGCAAAACTAGCCAGGGCTCCCCTGTTTCTTTCTACAGAGACAGGTAGGTCTTTTACCACCTTAAGTTTATTCATAGATACCTTATTTTTTGTTGTTGCAATGGTAAAATGGATTTTTTTCAGTTTCTTTTTCAAAGAGAGTGTTACTTGTGCATAAAAATGCCATCAATTTCTGGATGTTAATTTTGTATCCTGCTACTTTGCCAAATTCTTGTATTAACTGGTGATTCTTGTATTTTTCTGGTGATTTCTGTAGGGTTTTCTATGTACAATATCATGTCATCTGCAAATAATGGCTGTTTTATTTCCAATTTGGATGTCTTTTATTTTTTTCTCCTTGTCTCATCACTGTGGCTAGGATTTCCGGTACTACCTTGAATAAAAGTGATGAAGTTGAACATTCCTGTCTTGTTCCTAATCTTAAGGAAAACACTTTTAGTTTTAGCCCATTGAGAATGATGTTGGCTTTAGGTTTGTCAAATATGGCCTTTATTATGTTGAGGTATGTTCTCTCTATTCCCACTTTTCTGAGATTTTATCAAAAATAGGTTCTGGATTTTGTTAAATGCTTCTATTGATATGATCATGTGATTTTTATCCTTTATTTTGTTAATGAGGTGAATCACACTTATTGATTAGTGAATGTTGTACCAGCCTTGCATTACCAGAATAAATTAGACTTAGTCATGGTGTATGAGTATAATATTTTTATTCATGTTATTTTAAAAAAATATTACTTACTTCACTTTACATAAATGTAATCTTTTTCTACCTGATCATACAATGATTTTAATGGCCTAGTATAAGATAATTTACTGATGATACTCAAGCTTACTGGGTGCCATTGACTTCAGCAATAAACTGAGTTTCAGTTTGAGAGGAATTACTTTCTAGTATCATTGTAGAGGCTGTTTTGTAGTATGAAAATTAATGATTTAGATGTTAAAATTTAAAGGATAGTGAAATAATTATTTTCTTATGAAATCTCAAAATGCTATACAGATGATAATTCATTAAACCAAGTGTTTTAACGCTAAGCCTCACACTGTATTTGGTCATTCACATATAAGCAAGTGGCATTGGGCTCTCAGCATTGAGCTGGTACACATTGATAGCAAAATCAACAATGCTAGAGGAGGATGCAGCTGGAGAATAGTGCCTGGAGCAGCAGCTGAAATAAGACATATCTGTTCATGACTTACTGCATCATTTTTTCTTTGGGTGCTCTATAACCTTGTTAATCAAAGTGTAGTCCAAGAATCAGCAGCAGCAGCATCCCCTGGGAACTTGTTGCAAATGCAGAATCTCAGGTTTCAATCTACTGAATCATTCTACAGTTTAATAAGATCTTCAGATGATTCCTATTCACATTTGTTTAAATAGCACTATTCTAAAGACTAAATAGACCTAAGGGTTTGAAAAGTTTGTTATAACTGAGTTCCCTGGCTCTACCATTTCACAGCCTTGACTAGGGCTGCAAGTTTTTTGGAAATGGGTATCGTGGTTACTAGTTATTATTATATTTTCTTTTCCCAAAGGGGTGGATTAGATTATAAATTCAGATTCTGGGGTCAGATTGCTTGGGTTCACATCCTGGCTCTGCCACTTGTATCAAATGTTGTCATTTGTTGAGGGTGACTGTGATGAACAAAGGTATTTCCCTTTCCACTGCTTTGATTTGTATTGGACTGTAATTGAGCTTCAGATAAACCTTTGGGGTGTTTGTGAGATTCATTCTTGTCATCATTATTACTGGATTTATGGTGTCTTGGTTCTAACTGAGCCAGCAATTATTGAAAAGCAGATGGAGTTTGGAAAACTTTTCAACTTCAGTAAATAAATGTTCTCACTAATGAATAGAGACTATTCAGCTTCTGACAAAAGTGTAGATAGATTTAAAAGTGATGAGAAATCTCACAGAATTATAACCTACTAAAAAATGGTAGGAACATTTTTACCAGCAGGTCTTAGAGACTTATCAGCATTCTGACCTTGTTTTCTACAGGGAGCAGCTGGCATTTTATGCTATGTGGGAGCCTATGTCTTCATCACTTATGATGACTATGACCACTTCTTTGAAGATGTGTACACTCTCATCCCTGCTGTAGTGATTATAGCTGTAGGAGCTTTGCTTTTCATTATTGGGCTAATTGGTTGCTGTGCCACAATCCGAGAAAGCCACTGTGGACTGGCTACGGTAAGTTAGTGCTTTACTGACCAATGTGTTGTCATACTATGAGGGAATATTTCATTTGTGTTACTTGCTTTGAATGGAGCATGAAACTCCATAGACTGGCTCTTATAATTGGAACAGAATTAACACTTGTCTTAAACTTCTAGCAGTTATCTTAGATAACTGCTTTTTTAATCAAGAGAATATTTAGTGCTGTTTTTAAATTTGTATTTAATTTTTGACTGTTTCCTTGCAGTTTATCATCATTCTACTCTTAGTTTTTGTCACAGAAGTTGTTGCAGTGGTTTTGGGATACGTTTACAGAGCAAAGGTATGTTGTCTACTATAATTTATATGTTTTAAAAGGTGGTTTAAGTGTTTCAAGTGAAATAGAACAAATTTATTTTATCAAAGTAAATATTTTCTTTTGCCATACTTCAGTTTAACCACTGCTTTAAAAATCTAAAGTTGATTAGAAATTATATGTCAAGGTTTCTAGTCTCATTTTATATAGCAAAATGTTAATTCTACTACTGTTCTAGTTTGTACATATTTAGTTTCCTTTGAATTACCTCAGAATGAGCTATAGATGAAGAATTGGTCAACTGAGAAATTTGTTCAAATTTCCTCAACCCATAGATTCTCTGTATGAGAGGGGAAATACAACTTTCCTGATTTGTTTTATTTTCCATTGCCTCTTTTAAAAATGTCTTAGAAAAGATGATTCTGAATTGTGATCCTACCTTATACCCCATTCTGAGGAACAAGGTGTCCTGCCAACTTGAAAACCAAGGCAGCTGTTACCAGCCACTCCCTTCTTGCCATGTCATTTCCTTTTATTTTCTATTTTGCCTACTTTTGCCTTCCACCTATAATACCATTTAGGCTACACAGTCTGCTTTGAATTAATTTGAGTATAACTTTAAAGCCATGTTATAAAGGCTTAATAGAGTCATTGTAAAGTATGATTTTAAATCAAAGGCATGATATTCCAGTATAATATTCAAATAATTGATATATAAGGTACCAGGCAACTATGCCAAAAAGAATGAAATAAATTATGTTCCTACCTATGATCTAATTATCAATTATTTTAAATTTATCTTTATTATGGAAAGTATTACAGATGCTCCCCACTATCCCCCCCATAGGCCCTCCTCCATAGCACTATTGTGTATCTTCATTGGTTACACATATATGCATATAAGTTCTTTGGTTAATCTCTTCCTGCCCCACCTTCCCATTGAGATTTGTCAGTCTGTGCCATGTTTCCCTGTCTCTGGATCTATTTTGTTCATTGGTTTATTTTGTTCATTAGATTCCACATGTAAGTGAGATCATGTGATACTTGTCTTTCTCTGACTGGCTTATTTTGCTTAGCATAATACTCTCCAGTTCCCTCCATGCTGTATCAAAGGGTAAGAGATCCTTATTTTTACAGCTGCATAGTATTCCATTGTGTAAATGTACCACAGCTTTTTTATCTACTTATTTACTAAATGGGTACTTGGGTTGTTTCCAGATCTTAGTTACTGTAAATAGCACTGCTATGAACATAAGGGTGCATATATTCTTTCTGATTAGTGTTTCAGGATTCTTAGGATATGTTCCTAGAAGTGGGATCACTGGCTCAAATGGCAGTTCTATTTTTGATTTTTTGAGGAAACTCCATACTGTTTTCCACAGTGGCTGCTTCAGTCTACATTCCCACCAGCAGTGGTTCCTATGATTTTCTTCATAACCTTGTCAGCACTTGTTATTTGATGATTTATTGATGGTAGCCATTCTGGCAAGAGTGAGGTGATAACTCATTGTCATTTTAATTTTTATCTCTCTCATAATTAGTAACTTTGAACACTTTTTCATATGTCTCTTGGCCATTTATTTGTCCTCTTTGGAAAAGTGTCTATTCAGGTCCTTTGCCCACTTTTTAATTCGGTTGTTTTCCTTTTGTTAAATTTTATGAGTTCTTTATATATTTTGGAAATTAACCCCTTATCAGATGTATTAATGGCAAATATGTTCTCCCTTATAGTGGGATCTGTCTTCATTTTGTTGATAATTTTGAATTCTTATGCTGTGCAGAAGCTTTTTAGTTTGATGTAGTGCATTTGTTTGTTGGTTTGTTTTTTCTTTTGTTTCTCTTGTCCTAGGCAATGTATCCGTGAAAATTCTGCTATATAAGATTCTGAGATTTTGCCTGTGGTTTCTTCTGGGATTTTTATGGTTTCACAACTTACATTTTAATCTTTTATCTATTTTGAGTTTATTCTTGTGTATGGTATAAGTTGGCAGTCTACTTTCATTGTTTTGCATGTACCTGTCTAGTTTTTCCAACACCACTTATTGAAAAGAATGTCTTTACTCCACTATATGCTCTTGCCACCATTGTCAAATATTAACTGAGCATAATGGCTTTGGTCAATTTCTGGGGCCTCTGTTCTGTTCCATTGATGTATATCCTGTCCCTGTGCCCAGTACCAGGCTATTTTGATTACAGTGGCTTTGTAGTATAATTTGATATTTGTTATTGTGATCCCTCCTACTTTGTTCTTCATTCTCAAGATTGCTGTGGCTATTCGGGGTCTTTTTTGTTTCCATATAAATATTTGGATTATTTGTTCTAGATCTGTGAAATATGTTGTTAGTATTTTAATAGGTATTGTGTTGAATCTATAGATTGCTTTGAGTAGTATGGACACTTTTAATGATGTTCAGCTTCCAACCCATGGACATGGAATATTCTTCCATTTGTTTGTATCTTCCTTTATTTCTTTTTAAAATATCCTGTAGTTTTCAGAATTCAGTTATGAAATACAGAAGGTAAAACTTCTTGGTTAAGTTTATTCCTAGGTATCTTAATTTTTTTGCTGCAATGGTAAATGGGATTATTTTCTTAGTTTCTCTTTCTGCGCGTTCATTATTGGTGTATAAAAGAGCCATTGACTTCTGGATTTTAATTTTGTATCTTCTACTTTGCTGAATTCATTTATTAAATCTAATAGTTCTTTGGTGGAGTCATTAGGATATTTTTATGTACAGTTTCATGTCATCTGTGAATAATGATGGTTTCACTTTCTCCTTTCCGATTTTGATATCTTTTATTATTTCTTCTTATCTGATCATGTCGCTACGACTTCCCATACAATGTTGAATAAGAGTGGTGAAAACAGACATCTCTATCTTGTTCCTATTCTTAAATGCTTTAATTTTTTTCTCACTGAGTATGATGGTTTAATTTTTTCTCACTGAGTATGACGTTGGCAGTAGGTTTTCCATATATGACCTTTATTATTTTGGGGTATGATCCCTCTATTCCCACTTTGCTGAGTTTTTATTAAAAAAAGGGTGCTGGATTTTGTTGAATGCTTTTTCTGCATGTATTGATATGATCATGTGAATTTTATCTTTCATTTGTTAATGTGATGTGTCACATTTATTGATTTGCAAATATTGTATAGCCTTGCATCCTTGGGATAAATCCTATTTGGTCATGGTGAATAATCTTTTTATTTATTTATTTATTTATTTTTCATTTTTTATGTGATTTTTTTAGAGAGAGAGGAAGGGAAAGAGAGATAGAAACATCTATGTGAGAGAGAAACACTGATCAGCTGCCTCCTGCATGTCCCATACTGAGGATGGAGCCTGCAATCTGGGCATGTGCCCTGACTGGGAATCAAACCAGGACATCTCAGTACATGGGTCAATGCTCAGTCCACTGAGCCACACCAGCCAGGCATGAATAATCTTTTTAATATATTGCCGGATCTGATTTGCTAATATTTTATTGAGGATTTTGGCATCTGTGTTCATCAGGGATATTGGCCAGTAATTTTCTTTCTTTGTAGTGTTTTTATATGGTTTTGATATTAGGGTAATGCTGACCTCATAAAAAGAGTTTGGAAATCTTTCTTCCTATTGAATAATTTTGGAATAGTTTGAGGATGATGTGTGTTAGTTTTTCTTTAAGTGTTTGATAAAACTCTCCTGTGAAGCCATACAGTCCAGGACTTTTGTTTGCTCAAACTTTTTTGTTTACTGCTTCAATTTTATTTGTTGCTATTGGTTTATTCAGGTTCTCTGTTTTATCCTGATTTAGTTTTGGAAGACTGGATGTTTCTAAGAATTTGTTCATTTTGCCCTGGTTGTCCAATTTGTTGGCATATAGTTGTAATATTTTCTTACAATTCTTTGTATTTCTGTGATGTCAGTTTTTACTTTGCCTCTTTTATTTCTGTTTTAATTTTTTTTTTCTAAATTTGAGTCCTCTCTTTATTTTTTGTTGAGTTTGGCTAGAGGTTTATCAATCTTGTTTATTAATTCAAAGAACCAAGTTTTAGTTTCATTGATTTATTAATTTTTTTAGTCTCTATGTCACTTATTTCAACTCTGATATTTATTATTTCCTTACTGTGGGCTTTTCTTGTTTCTCCTTGTAATTCTTTCAGTTGTAGGCTTAGATAGTTTATTACTATTTTTTTTTTCTTGTTTCTAAAGGTAGGCCTCTAATGCCATAGTAAACTTCCCAGTCAGGACTGCTTTTACAGTATCCCATAGATTTTGATTTGTTGTATGTTCATTTTCATTTGTTTCTAGGTTGTTTATCAGTTCTTCCTGGATCTCATTGGTAACACACTCATTGTTTAAAGCATGCTATTTAGCCTCTATGTATTTGAATGTTTTGGAGTGTTTTTATTGTAGTTGATTTCTAGTTTTATTTCATTGTGATCTGAGAAGATGTTTTATATGATTTCAGTCTTCTTGAACTTACAAAGATGTATTTTGTGTCCTAATATGTGGTCTGTCTTTGACATTGTCCCATGTGCACTTGAGCAGAATGTATATTCTGCAGCTTTGGGTGAAATGTTCTGTAAGTGTCAATTAAATCTATCTGATCTAGTGTGTCATTTAGGATCACTGTTTACTTGTTGATTTTTTTTTCTGGAAGATATATCAAGTGAAGTCAGTGGTGTGTTAAATTCTCCTACTCTGACTGCATTGCTATTGATCTCCCTTAAAGTCCTCCAAGTTCTTAAAAATATATATTTAGGTGCTCCTATTTTGGGTTCATATGTTTACCAGGGTTATATCCTTTTGTTGTAGCAATCCTTATAGTATTGTGTAGTTACCTTCTTTGTCTCTTGTTATGGCCTTTGTTTCGAAGCTTATTTGTCAGATATATTATTGCTACCCCAGCTTTTTTGTTTGTTTGTTTGTTTCCTTTTCCATGGAAAAATTTGTGTCCTTTGTAAGTCTTTTATTCTGAGGTAGATTTCTTGTAGACAGTATATATATCGGTAATGCTTTCTTTCCATTCAGGTACTTTGT